TATATTGAAACATTTCTGACTATTTTTAATCTGTTAATTGTTTTTTGGGAAAATTCATACAGAAGATAAAAATGAATTTGATCTTTTCAGTTACAGTTTTCATTTTGTTTGTAATTTAGGCCTAATAGAGTATGATATCATGCAACAAACCAAATCTAGTTACCAAACAAAAACAAATTTAATTTTATACGCTATATACATTTGCATAATTTATTCCTTAAGAATGCACAAAAGGAAGTAAAAAAATCACCAGTTTGACTCAGTCTTGAAAGCTATTTGAAAAAAGAAGACAGGATTTGCAGAACTAATTATAAGTAAGACTTAAAAGAATAAATAAAAATATCAAATAGTAATAATTCAAATTAGATATAAATAATGAACTATATGCAGGGTTTAGGTATGGATTTTCCCACTTTCATTTTCAACCTTATTTATTTTCTGTGTAACCCCATTCTACACAGAATATGCAAAGTTAATTCCTTCCCCAGTTCTCAAGACTGCGCTGGTTGCATTTGTCTACTAATATGGGAGAATAAGAAGTAAAGGGGAAGCTTTTGAGAAGTTTGTGGGAAAGATATCACCTGATAAATATTGCTGGCTCTGAGTGTGATGACAAGAATTCCTGCAACCATCTTTGTTACTACAGTTTTGCAGCACATAATGTTTACATCCCGTGTATGGAGTTGGGATGTACATAGCACATCTTCATTCCTTTTTTCATCCCCTTTCCTCCTCTCCCTCCACCTCCCTCCATCTCTCGATTCCCAATCATCTGTCTACACTGACAGATGATAAAGACAAGTTATGAAGAGAAAGAGATAGGAGACTTGAAAAGTGATGCTAAAACCCTGACACACTACGCCATGCCCGAGTACACCTTAACTCTGAGCACTGTATTATGTAAAACTTCCTTCAGTGGTAGTATTTTCTGGTTCTTGAACCCAAAACTATCTGGGGGATATTTAGTATGTTTTATTTTTCAAAACATAATTTTAAAAAATTATTTTTTATTGTTCTTTAAAAATACATTATAAAACATATTTCTAAATATAATACAAATAAACTCATTTTAAATATTCAATATGTTTGGTGAATTTTATTTTAACAATTGCTGTAGTTTGTCTATGGCTTGTGTATGCCCCTCAAGGGTCATATGTGCATCCCTATTATGAGGTATTAAGGGGGTGTAATTTAATTTGATCATGATATTTAAAGGTGAGTCTTTCAGGAGGTGGTACACTGAATCCCCCATGATTGAATACTAGTCACTTTCAAGGAAGAGAAACCAAAAAGACTACAAGTCCCTGCTTCCTGCTCTACTATGTTATGAGCACTACCACATCAGGAGTCTGCCAGCAGGAAAGCCACCACCACATGTGGACCGTTCCCTTTAGACTAGTACTGGGACCCAAAATAAACCACTTTTCTTTACAACACAGCCTGGTGGTATTTCATTATAGCAATGACAACTGGACTAATACAAAGATTAAATTCAGAAGTGTCTTTGAAATAGTCAATTAATTATTTTCTGAAAACTGGATCTGTACTAGTGTTTTGTTTTTAATCCTAGTGCAATAATTATGAGTAACTGGAACAAAGCTATTTCATATATAAATTGGCCTTTTAAAGCATGAAATGTCAGTATCTTCACTTAAAAATGTAGTGTATTTTTTGTTTATTCTTAGGAGGAATTGATCTGCAGAAGGGTAAAAATACTTTAACATAAAATAAATTAAGAATTATTTTCAAACATGTCAGATTTTATTTAATATTTTCTCCCTAAAAGTATAAAATTTTGAGAGCATTAAAATATTGATACTAAAACATTTTTAAACTATTTTTATCCAAAATTCTCATTTAAAATCTTTACAAGACACATATTTATAAAATCAACTATACAAGCAAGTTTGTAGCCATTAACAAATTTGGCAATATGTTTAGAAAGGAGGAAAGAGTTATAGTACTGGTTAAATGCATCTCTATGTCAATTAGCTTTTACTAGAATTCTTATCAGAAAAGTGAAGATTCTATTTATTTATCAAGGCACATGGGCACAAAAAATAATTTTATTGAAAAAACAAATATCTTTCAACTAAGATGATGAAACTGCCACACACACTAAATCACAGTAAATAAAATAAACAAGGAAATCCATTGGATAATATATTTTGGTAAGCTGTTAATTCTTAAATAATCAATTTGGGCTGGGGATTTAGCTCAGTGGTTTTGCTGCTTGCTGCGCAAGCACAAGGACCCAAGTTCGATCCCCAGTACCAAAAAAAAAAAAAAAAAAAAAAAAAAAAAAAAAATCAATTACAGAAATGGTAGCTTATGGTGTCATTCAAGTATAACTACAATTCATCTAGACATCTTATATTATCACTTATTAATTCCTTGTGCACATAGAGAATGTAGTTCCTGGATACTATTTGAATAATCTATATACAAATATCCAATGCTGTTCAAACATCTGTACTTTTTTATAGACTGGATTATCCAAAAAGGGATATCAGGATTTTACACACTCACTATACTTCCTAGTCCTATTGCCTTAACAATTCAATTCTTCTGAAGTAAAATAATTTTTTTTCAACACAGGAATTCTGAGAGCCAATGAATTATAGCTGGCACGGGAGTTTTGCATAAATTCTTATAGTAAATCAGTATTTACCAACAAATATGTCATTAAAGATTGAAAAACATAGCATATTTAAAACATTTACTACACTTCTTCTGTAATATATTTTATAAATGAGCTTTGGTTAGAAAATTATTAGGAATTTGAAATTCTTGAAGGAATAGAAGATATTATAGATGAATTGTGCAGATGTGCTGAAACACGATGCCAAAGCCATCTAAATAAGATTGAAAACTTTGAATTTAAATTTATTTTGGAGCAAATTTCAAAACTATGAACAAAGTAAGAATACTAGGGAGAAATATCCAACAAATCTATGTAAACAGAAATGCCCCAATGGGTAAATAGTTAAAGATCACAGAATATTAACTCACAAATATGAAAATATGAATAAATACAAAAATTGTGTTTAATTTATAATAAAAATAGTAATAAAAGAATGAAATAAAGCAATGGTGAAATATTTCATTTTTACATGTGATGTTGAACTAGCTAGAAAGTTAAAAATCACTTCTTACTTAGAGTACATGGAAATGGGAACTCCCATTTGATAAGGTAAATGTCATTAGCACATTCTCTCTGGACCTCATTTAGACCATATGTAACAAAATTATATATTTGAATTGCTTGCTCTTTTAACAATTAATTCTACTTTTATTCATTTTCTTGAGAAAATAGTTAAGTCTATCATGTAAAGAGCTTGCCAGGATGATTATATATCCAGTTGTTTATGATAGAGGAAAACAAAAGGAAAATAGAGGAAATAATTCAGCAACACATGTTTATTAATAAGAAGTTTGTTATATTATAGAATAGTCATTGAATAAAACATGAAAGTCATTAAATTATAACACAAATAATTATTTGTGGACATGGTAATCAACCATAGCATATTGTTAAGTTGAAAAAGCAAGGTAAAACAAAATCTATATGTTCCTATCTTAGCTATATTATCTATGTGTGTATAGGTAGACAGATAGATAGATAGATAGATAGAAAAAAATTAGTGGAATATGTAGCACATTTAAAGAGGATCTGTTTTTGTAATAAGATCATATGTTACTCTTTCATTGTCCATATTTTTTATTAACTAAAATTGATTTTTAATTTAGAAAACATTTGATGAAAATATATATAATTTCTACAAAATAAAATGAAACAAAATTTTCTTGTTCATAAAGTATTATGAAAGAAAAATATCTTGTTCATAATAGTAATATATGAAACAAAATATTTGGATATAAGATTATAAGAAATAATTAACCAAATAAAAATGATCAAATTAATAACAAAATCTTTTTCTAGATACCTTTGGTATAAATGAATCATGGTTTATACAGTAATGATTTAAATGTTAATAAATAACTCTTGCCTAATTTTCCAAATGGATTTGAAGCACATAATGAGACCTAACATAATAAAGTACTTTTAAGAAAGTCTGAAAAATGAAGAAAGCAATATTGATCGAGGAAATGTAGGGGAGAAAATATAGGGATGGGACGAGAATAAAACCTGTACTAAGAAACAGTCCAAGCAATGGCACATCAATTTATACAAACAGTCAATGAGTTTCTGATCTGTTACAGCTAAAAGTACATCTTAATGGGTGATATTGTTCTCATAGTCTAATAACAAGAAGTATAAGTTTATAAAAATAGAGAAACTTACTTTTCTGAAACTTGAGAGTATCAGTACATGGACGACTACAAAACACTTAAAAACACAGATTTTAAACAGGTTTCTATATTCTACACATATAACTTTCATAATATTGCTATCTGACAAAACCTTAAGGCATAACAGCTGCATAGATAAGAAGATACCAACTTTGGGTCCTCTGAATTGCTACAGGTTTATAACTTCTGAAATGTATGTTAAATTTGTACTACCCAAGTAAACAGGGTAGATTACTAGGAAGTAGCAGAATTACAGTAAACCAATTTTAAAGGGTAACAAAATATCCCTTAAAATCAGTTTGTAGAAGATATTAAAATTCTACATCATCTTAATTTGAATCATTAGAAAAACAACAATGTCAGGATATAAATTTATAAGAAATCCAAGTATTCACTTGTAGTTAAAAACATTAATCCAAAATGATATTAGATATTCAACTGAATTTGTACTAGTGACTTCTTAACTTTTGATTTATCAAAAAACTTTAAAGAAATTATAAAATGGTGCTAAAATAAACCACTTTGGACTCTTGATTTTGAGCATATTTTCAAAGAAGAAATTAAAATTAGCAATACTAATGAAATGAGAAAGAAAATATGCAATAAACTCAGATAATTATCTGACTTTAGTTGGTTCAAAATATGACAATTATTTTTACTGCTAATATCATATCAAAACTAAAAAATATATATAATTTTAACAGTAGAAAAGGTGCCTCTATAAAATGAACCTGAGATTCATTTATTTTTCCACAAAAGAAAAAACTGGATTTGCATGAAAAAATAAATCATATTATAAAATGAAATACAATCAGCAGCCATCAGCGGGATTGGAGGTCTCCTGAAGACAAGGCAGGCAAAGCTGTCCACTCCTCCCCACCTGGCGAGAAAGCCACCTTCTCAGGGCCGCTGGGCCAAGGCGATGCTGAGGGCTTTGGAGCCCAAGACGCGGCCGTTCATCTCGGTCAGGGCTTTGGCAGCTTCCTCTGGAGAGGAGAAGCATATCAAGCCGAAGCCTCTGCTGTACCCTTCTTCCTTCATTACCTTGACTCTGGTAATAGATCCGAATGAAGAAAATTCCTTTCGTAGTTGTTCATCATCAACGGTGTCATCGAGGTTCTTAACATAGAGTTTCACGCCTTGGCACCTACGAATTCTTTCCTTCTTCATCTGCTCAAACATGTGTTTCAGCTCAGCCTGTCGCTCTACTTTCTTTTGTGCCCTGCCTACAAAAACGAGCTGCCCGTTCATGTCCTTCCCATTCATTTCTTCCACGGCCCTTTTGGCAGCCTCGTGGCTCTCAAAGCTCACGAAGCCAAAGCCTTTGGATTTCCCGCTGGAATCTGTCATCACCTTAACACTCAAGGTCTTGCCATATCTGCTGAAAACACCTTGGAGTCTCTCATCGTCCATGTCATCCCCAAAGTTCTTGATGTAAACATTGGTGAACTCACTGGCTCTGCTTCTGAGCTCGGCTTCCCGATCCTTGCGGGGTTTGAATGGGGCGACAAACACAGGCCGGTCATTGATCACTTTGCCATTCATCTGCTCGATGGCGCAGTTGGCAGCGCTCTGGCTCTGAAAGTGCACAAACGCGTAGCCCTTGGATCCCTGATCGTCGCTCATCACCTTGGAGGACAGGATCTTTCCGAACCCTGAAAAGTGCTCATAGAGGGTTTTGTTGTCCACGGATCTGTCCAGATTCTTGACGAACACGTTCCCAATTCCTGATCTCCGTAAGCAGGCATCACGTTGAGACCACATGAGGCGGATGGGTCTGCCCTTGATCACGTCGAAGTTCATGGTGTCCAGGGCCCTCTGGGCGTCCGCCAGCTGCAGGAAGTTCACGTAGGCGTAGCCCAGGGGCTGGCGCGTGGCCAGGTCCCTGCAGATGCGGATGGACAGCACGGGCCCCGCGGCGCTGAACTTCCGGAACAGCAGGTCCTCGGTGGCCTCGGCGTGCAGGTCCCCCACGTACAGGGAGGCCAGGCGGTACTTGGCGGCCGCGTTCATCACCCCTGTCCTCGCCAGCACCAGCTGGACCCCAGGCTGCACTGGCCAAGTCCTGCAGGAGCGGGGCTGGAGCGCAGCTGGCGGGGAGTCCTGCGACGGGGCCTGGGGATCGCCCCTGGGGTCCAGCTCCCCCTGCTCACGCAACACCTTCACCCCCAAGCGGCCCGCGGAGGCCTCCCCGGGAAGTTGGCAGCACAACTTAGAAATCTCAAAAGATTTTTTTTGGACAAACCGTTCCTTCAGCAACAGTTTTCGAGGACCTTGCGTGGAAGCCCTGGCCGCTGGTTTCTGAATAAAAATAGGCCTCGAGTGCTCAGGCCGGTGTAGAGTTACAGCGCCCCGGGCAGAGCTGCCCCGGGTGGGCGGCGGCGCGGCGCGGGCGCGGGGCTGGGGGGTCTGGTCGCCCCTCCGGACCCGAGCCCGAGCCGCAGCCCCGGCCCTGCAGCCGCAGCCCGAGGGCACCGCGGGGACGGACGTAGGGGTCGGACGTAGGGGTCGGAGCTGAGGGCGAGGAAGCCGGAACTCGGAGCGGGACTTCCCGCGCACTCGCTGCCAAGTGGGATGTTTGCTTTTTCATATTTTTTTCAGATCGTTTTTCTTTCCCCCGCCCCCTTACTGGTTTCCCACCCCGCAGGACTGCTAAGCCCAGAGCCCGGAGGCGGTGACTGAGGTGGAGAAAGGCCGGGGGCGTGGCCCCAAGGAACCCGGGCCGGGAGCAAAGCCCAGTGCTGAGCCAGGCCCTTCCTTGGCTTCCTAGCTGCGCACCTCCGGGAGGGCTGCCTTGCTTCCCAGCCTGAGGCCCAACATCCGCACCCCTTTCTTCTAAGCTCTGCAAGACCCGCGTGTCTTCCAAACTCAGCTACTGCTTAGTTCCCCTTCAGTTCTCCAACACACGCACGTACGCACTCACACACGCACATGCACATGCACGTACGCCTGCTTTCAGGGCCAGTTTTCTGAAAAAAATCAAAGTGCATTCCTCAGAAATCAGCTTGAATGCTCTTTCCGAGTAGAAGTTATCCCTGCACTGCTGAAATTTTAGCTTTCACTTTTTAAAAACAGTTACACCGTCTTGTACTTTATTGGAATTTTAAAAATTACAATATATTGTCCGTCTTGTGATGGTAGGAATGGTGTCCGTTTTATTTTCAGGAATTTGCAGAAATGAGATGTTCGATGTTTACTGAATAAATCAAACACCCTAATTTGTTAAATGGCCACATATTATGCCCCCTCTTATTTATTCTGCTCACTATACTTTTTTTTTTTTAATTTTAACAAATTGAGCATCTTTAACCATCAGTGATTCTACTTTCTCTTTAATTGTGTACAGCTCATCCTTCTGTCAGTCGTGTTTATTCAGTGGCTTCTTCTTTGGGAGGGCTTCTGCACTGGCACTTTCCTTGCCTGATGCTCCGGCCTTTGCTTCATTTCCTCTTGTGTTATTTCAGGAGTCTCCTTCATTCATCTTCTTTTATTCAGTCTGTCTGTATGCCTGTCTATTTGTGCTTTGCTGCCAGAATAATTTTATTAACATCTCCTTCATAAGATTTTGGCTAAAGAATTAGTAAGTGACTTTTAAAATGTTGCAACCTCAATCCTGCCCTAGGTAGAAGTATCTTCTTCAGCCAAGCTAATCTTCCATTTATTTTGTGTGTACATGCAGTTAATTCTTCTAAAAATATCTCCTTTTTCCCAGTAATTATCAAACTGTTTTCTTTGAGCCTTGATTTCTTCTTTTTCCTTTTTGTTTTAAGAGTCCAGCCAACACTGATTACTTTTTCTGTCCTAAAGTCATTATTTAATACATACATTGCACAGGTATGCTTCATTTAGCTTTGTGGCCATTAGTTTCATGCAGCATAACTTAAAATTGATGCTGCTTATGATGTCTTTTTTCCTTAGCCACTCGTTGCAGCTATATTTCTGACTTGCATGTCTTATTTTTTTCAGATATCCTGAAAATGTTTAACTTAAACCCAATATTCTGGTTTATTTGGAAATATGTCGCAATTTTGCCCAGTTGTATTATTTAGCCGAAGTTTCCTTCACTGTACTTTTTCCTTCTATGAACAATGTAGATGGGTGACACAAAATTAAATGAAGATGAGATTATTTTGCTTAAATGCAGAAAAATTTTTAGCATTTTTACTTACCAATATTGATGTCAATGGAGTATCTAAATTCTATGAGATATGACAGAAAAATACAGACAATAATCTTTTTAAAAATACTACTGTAAAAGACATATTGCTATTAATGCTTCTCAGTGAACTCTCCCTCACATCCAACATACTTTTATCCCACCATTCTTGCCTCTTTCTGGAGCAGTTCTGGAATTCCTCCTTCAGTGTGTCTTTAGTTGTGCTTTCATGGCTGCCTCAATGTCCTGAATTGATTGAAAGTGTTTACCTTCCACAGTCATTTTAACTTTGGGGAAGAGCCAGAAGTCCTAGTGCCAGATCCAGTGAGTAAGATGGATGAGGACACACCATCATGTGTTTTTGCAAGCTGGCCTTTCCATTGGATGGTATTTGATAGGAATATTCACTGTATATTTGATCACACCTCTTGAAGGCACTCACATGTCGGGACTTCCAGAACTGCTTCAGAAAGTGGTAGGAACAATGGAATAGTATGTTTAAAGTGTGAGGCTGGGTATTTCAAAGAGGCTTAATGGCAATATATCTATTATAGTCATAGATCTTTAAAAAAATTTAAACATTCACAAATATTTTGATTACTCTTGTCCACAAGTCTGTACTTTGATGTAATAGCTAATTGATAAAATATTTCTAGTTCTACTCATGAGTATGGTGGATACTAAGTCATAAACAATTGATTGTGGAAAATATTTAATGCTTCAATCTGATTATCCTCAGATAGGTATTCAGGCAGAGCCCTTCATTGTCTCAATTTTCCTCTTTCCTTGTACCCTACTACTTATTCCAGATCCTGACTTCACCTTGCTATTTATTATATATTGCTAAAGCCAGGAAAACTAGGTACTCTGTTTTCTCGTATCCTTCAGTTTCTGTGAAGCAATAAGACTTCTTCATCATCAATGCTGAAAACCTCTTATCCATTTTTCTTACTCTAGCAAAAAGAGATCAACCTCACTAGGAGTAAATCTGAGGAAGAACAGACTGGAGAAAAGGGATCAGAGCATTCCCTCCCTGCTCAATTCTTTTTCTTAAAGGAATGCATGTGCCACTTCAAAAAGGAGTCCTGTTACTCTAGCATTGACAGAGAGAGGATTGAGGGGTACCATCTTATTCTTCACAGCTGGAGAGATCTAGCATCACCCCCTAAATGTCCACCTCAGTACTACTCATTCCCACAGGGAGTATTTATTGGCACTCATGAGGAAAGTTCTTTCCTACTTTTGACACTTATTCTGTTCATCATTTTAACTTTATTCATCTATATGAATCTATGACCATTAGCCACTGAAATTCTAAGTAGAAAACATAGTTCCAGGTTCAATATGCTTAAACTTCAAAATCTTCTAGACTAAGGTCTGTGAGGGTTAATGCAGGGAACATGGCACGAATTGGCAGGAGGTGTGGACCCCAGTCTCTTCTTTATTTTGCTGATCTTTTCTTCTCACTTTCCTCCAAATTGCATGCATCTCCCCAAGGAGAGCCTCATTATATAATTTTTTTGTGGTATCGGGAATCAAACTCAGGACCTTGAGCTTGCCAGGCATGCACAGCGCCACTGAGCTACATCCCCAGCCCTCCTTACTAAATACGTTGAATAGTCTGTTAACCAGCTTAACTTTCCTCCCTGTCCTGCCCCAAACCCATTTCTATAATGGGCAAATGGGTTTTATGATGCACCAACTTTGCTATTTGGTCATAGATCCTGGATGCAATTAACAAACTCCAAATAGCCAAAAATGTCTCCCAGGTGAGACATTCCTTCCCTGTGGATTTCTAACTTTCGGTATTCAAGGGAAAATTCTTTCTTTAGGTAACAATTCCTGTGATCTTACTTTGCTACATAGTTGCATTTTCTGATGCATGGTGTTATGCTACCTATCAGAAATACTAGTCAACTGTGGCCTTGGGGCCATTTTTCTGATTAACTTCTTACTATTAATTTCCTCCTTACCAAACCTGTTATCATGTATATGTATATGTATATATGTATATGTATTCATTTTTAAATGGGTATCACCACCCCCAACATGCTAACACCATCAATGCTGTCTCTAGCCTGTCAAGATGAGAATTGTTTCTGACTTAGTTACCATTATATTCTCACTTCTTATAACAAAAAATTACATGCAAGAACTTCTCAAAGCTTATGATTTAGGAGTTAGCTGACAATTCTTCCTAAATCACTCCTATTTCTTCTCATTTTATAAATTGGGGCCTCATTGTCTTAGTTCTGGTTATTGTTTAAAGAATGTTTGTATAGCAAACAGCTTTGGAAGATAAACATAGTGATTTTTATTTTTTTTTCTGAAGGCAAAGTACAAGTTTGTTTATAGCGCTGGAATTACAGACATTGTCTCTCTTTGGAACACTGAGCAGGCATGCTTCTTGCTCCCTTGAAAGCAGAGAGGCTTGCTAAATCCTGGGCTACTCTTCCATTATGGAGGTGTTTCCCAGGCCTCTGGCCATCACTCTGAGGCAATGTGCACTTAAGGAACTGTTGCAGAAAATACTAATGGTGGCTGCTGCTATTGCTGTGATTAGAAAAATTTTTGTCTCTGATCCAGGAGTTTTTTTTTCAGCATCCATGAAGCTATGACAAATAATTTATTGGCTTACAAGTAGGCAAAAATCAGAGCCCTCATAGTTCTTGATAAGATGACTAATTAAGATAGGATCATAATATAGATGTGGCTTTTGGGAAAGGGAAGATAAAGGACCTTTCCAGGAGATTTATGGGATTTGAGAAAAAATGGTACAATTTGATAGAAAAGAAGTAGCCAAATCGTATCATTGGTTGAAGGAAGAAGTTTGTTCTTCCCAAAGGAAAGACACATTTTATAGAGAACACTGAGATATTTCAGGGCATGGTAAAAGTCAGATGTTTATGGATTTGTTTGATGTTTATGTTCAAGTCTCAGTTCTTCCTGGTCCCTTGTTAGACTGAAGTACCTAAATCCAACAGATCTGATTTGGTCACAGTTCACAAGAAATAAGCTAAGTGGATCTTGAGGGAGAGTAATTTGGGCAAATTCAATAAACTGTTTTTGTAGATTTTTACAACTGAATTGACTGACGATGGATTTCACAACTAAATTTGTATTAGGGATTTATATGTTAGCTCAATGTCCATTCTTAGAGATTGGCAGACCTACAAAAGGCAACCTTCTTGGGTACCCTGAGCTGTGGTAATAGGCCCTGTTCCTTATAGAAACATTAAGTTTCCTTATGCAGAGGCCCATGCT